GGATGTACGAGTTCGTGGGAGTGTTAAGTGTCATGTTGTAAATCAGTCTTTTGTGGAAGATTTTATAGTAATATGTTGCAGTATCTGAATATCCTGGAGTCATGCTTTTCCTTCCACAGTTGGAAGGACAAGTCTGGTTTGGAGTTCTCTCGCCAGATTGTAAATATTGTAAATAGGTATGTATGTGTACATATGTATAGTTATTTATTCATTTTTAGGTTACTTTATTTATTGTATATATATATATATATATATATATATGTACATTATTTTTATGTACAATTTATTTTATTAATTGTACATAGAGTGTGAATGTGATCTCTGAACACTATTATAAATGTCCTTGATACAGATTGTAATATTTTACAATAATAAGTAATAATATTTTTAAAAAATAAAGTATCTGAAACTTTCGTAATCAGGCTGTCTGAGTCCTGTTGAAACAAATTATTTGTCAGAAGTAATGGCGCGTTTACGATATTTTGCAAACATTATAGTATTTGAGAAGGAGTTAGTCGAGGGTGCGGTCAAATAAATAAAAAAATTAAAATATATAAATTATTTTAATTTTTGCCGACGTTTCGACCCACTTTGCAGGTCGTCTTCAGGGCGTAGGATGTGGCACTGCGGGAGGCAGTTGAAACACAGGCCTCAAGTAAACTGTGGCAGACAATGCCAACTGCCTGCCGCAGTGCCACATCCTACGCCCTGAAGACGACCTGCAAAGTGGGTCGAAACGTCGGCAAAAATTAAAATAATTTATATATTTTAATTTTTTTATTTATTTGACCGCACCCTCGACTAACTCCTTCTCATATTATATTAACGGTCAACCATCTCTACATCATTATAGTATTTGATTGCTTAGTCTTTAGAAAATAAAATATATAACAGTATTGGTTGTACAATATACACAATTTCCCAGTAGTGGAATGTTTCTCAATAAGTTCACAATTTAATCGCAAATACCACCTTAATGTTTCTAGTAATAAAGCTCATGACCAGAATATTTGAAACGTTACCACAGTCCTCCACCCACCATTTCCCATATTAACAAATGAAATATGGAGCGGGAGTGTTATTGGAAGTGTACTATGTGGCCCACCGGAGACTCGATAAACAGAACTGACAAATCGCCGGTGCCAAGGTAGAGAGCCCTGTAATATAGGAGAAATGATTAGGGCCCCACATCTGCATATTGCCTCTCTAATTTATATCTCCATGGGATTTCCTGATTGATAGCTATCTGAGGCTGGCAATCGCCCGATTTCTCACATTTGACAGGAAAAAATTCAGGAAATTAAAAAAAAATAAAAATATTGCAACACGACTTTCTATATATATCTTTACTAATAGTGCTCTGATTTCGATGAAAATTTCTTCGTTTTTTTAGGAAATTTAAATAATTTTGAAAAATATAATCGCAATATTAACTATATCAATGAAGCATGAATATATTTATCTACAAATAAACATTTAACTAAATTAAAATAAATGAATAGACAGTTCTAAAGAAATTTATTACAATTAAAAATATAACTAAACAAATTAGTTCATGGTACAGACCCCTTTTCATCCAATGATTAGCATCCGCCTGAAACTTGGTAAATAGTTTCATCTCATCGTAACCTACAACTATTTTATTAACGCAAACTCTTAGAATTGGGGAATTTTAAATCTGACAGCGGGCAAGCTTTGTCTATTTAATTAGGTACTAAAAACTCGTAAATACCCATTTGTTTTCTACTTGGGTCGTAAGATAAATTGATCGCAAATTCAATAAAAAAGATTTCCTACAAAAATATTGGACCGTTAGGCATGACCCGCATCCACAACTTGTCAAAATAACGAGGTTATATTGGTCAAACTGTCTTTGTTTTATGTCATATTTTTTCTCAATTTTGTGATCAAATTATCTTACGATCCAAGTCGAAAGCAAATAGATATTTACGATTTTTCAGTACCTAATTAAATAGACCAAGTTTGCCGATCTCCAGATTGAAAATGCTCCGATTCCAAGATTTTTCGTAAATAAAATAGTTGTAGATGACGACGAGATGAAGCTATTTACGATGTTTCAGGCATATGTTAATCAATTGGTAAAAAGTGATCTGTACCACGAACTGTTGTTTTATTTGGCATCAGGGACTTCTATTCCAACTTAAGACTATATTCCCTCCAACCTACTATCTTATTCTTCAATATTTTCTTTCTGACAGAATTTTTTCTGTTTGCCAAGGTACAGAACTATCTACTCTTAAACCAGCCTTAGCAGGAGCACCTCAGGGGACAGTACTTGCTCCCCTGTTGTATTATATCATTTACACATATGATATTCCAGATCCTGTCAATACTCTGACCGCGACTTACGCAGACGATACAACAATCTTGACAAGACATCAAAATTCAACATACGCCTTACAGACTCTACAATATCACCTAAACAAATTCTACGACTGGTGCAAACTCTGGAAAATTCGACTCAACCATGAAAAATCACTACATATCACTTTTACCCTTCGACGTGAAACTTGCCCTGCTATTTACCTTGACAATATCCAAATTCCCCAGACAGACAAAGTTCAATATCTTGAACTAACCTTTGACAGAAGAATGTCAAGGGGCTCACATATCAAAAACAAAATAAAAACTCTAAACGTAAGACTACGACTATTGTACTCACTCCTTGCAAGAAATTCGAAATTAAAACTTAGACAGAAATTGAATACGTATACTATTTAAGCCTATTTGGACCTACGCTTCACAGATATATGAGACAGCCAAATAGACTCACATACGTAAATTACAGACTTTTCAATCTAAAACTTTCAGGACTATCACCAAAGCTCCCTAGTACGCCAGTAACATTACTCTACATAAAGACTTACAGATGCCAACAGTTAACGACCACATACGAACTTACTACAGAAGATTTCATAATAACTTACACGGACATACAAACTCATTGATCCGAGGCATGGCCACAACTAACATGCCCGATAGCACCCAAGGAGGCTTAAAAGAAGCTGGATGAGGGATCTCCTCCATTAACTATAAATAATGACACTCAAGACAGGAAGGACGCCGCTGGGTACTCCTCTCCCTCACGCCTATTCCAAGACCAAAATTTTATTAATTATACACAGATAAATATAAAGAAATGATTTAATTTAGATGAATTTAATATAAGAATATATCCTTATACTATTTGCCAGAAAGATGAAGTTTTGTGGTCTGTAACTGCTTTAAGTAATCTGCTAAATAGGAAAATATCAAAAGGAAATTAAATATGAAATGATACTAATAAATCATAAAGAAATAATCGGTTTTTTTGTAACTTTTGAAAAAAATGTTAATTTTTACAAATGACCTTTTGCAATATCAGTAGCGATATAATGAATTAATCCAATTCTGAGCTATTTTTAAATAAAACAAAAAATACGGAGTGTTATGAAACATGATTAAGAATTTTTATGAGAGGAAGGCACGGGATCTTGTGGCTAATAATTTGTTATGAGGATAAAGGGATTTTTTTAGCCCTGATGATGGCAGCGTATTTGCGTATATTGCCAAGACAGCATTTCCATTTCAAGAAAAAATGGAAAAGGAGAGAAAAAAAAAGTTACAAATTTCTTCAATTCAATATTTATTCAATGCTAGAGATAGTTTTACGTTTAAGCGCATGATAAACTTACCTGGTACCGAGAATAAAAATTGCAGGTGGAAATGTATGATCTTCAAGGTGAAGTGGCTATGGAACCTTTATAATTTTATATATTTTTTTTAAACATTATTTTTAAAGAAAATAAACATGTCGAATTGAAATGATTTCAGCAGAAAATATAAAACCTGTTCAGTACTTATTATATGGTTAGTGTACTGCACAGGCTTTGTTCTTGATACAGGTGAATACTAAAATTTTCCTTGATGAATATTGATTGCCTTATAATTTCAGTTTTATTTTAATTTCAAAAAATATATTTATTTATGGATGAATAAGTCCAGAATGAATGACATTTGGTTAACTGATTTTTTAATGTCACAAAAAAGGTTTTCACAACTCAGGAATAACTTTTCAACTGAAATCATTTAAAAATAACGAGATAGCTAAAAACTGTTCAACACCCCACAGAAGTTAGATCCAACTCAATAAAGGACAAAACAATTGAGCTTCTGCTGTAAACGAAACGTTTCAATTAAAAAAAAAAAAAAAAAAAAAAAGGTTTCACAGTTAGACTTTTTAAAGCTCAGGATCGGAATGTATAGACATCTCGTTTGTTCGTGGTTCAACGTCAACGAATTCAAAAAATTTCAATTAACTTGGCGTGTTTTTATTTATTTTTTTAACAAGGTAATGCAGATACAAAGCGAGTTAGTGAACTTTACAAACAAAAGAACGGCATAGTTCACCATTCAAACAAGCACACTAAAAACCTAATTGTTTTTTATCAAAGTGGAATGAACAAAGCGCTAATTATTTGATAATTTTAATTAATTTTTTTTTATTCTTTTAGTTATATATATATAGTAAGAAGTGCAATATTTTTCTGTAATTCATAATATTAATATATATTTTTAATTAATACTTAATATATGATACTCATCTTACGTAGGAAGGAGTTATCCACACATAATAATTATTTCGACATAAAGAGAAAAACTTTGGAGTTGGTAAAGTACTTTCATAAAAACAGGACAGTCCAAAAATCTTCTTGATTCCAAATCACGCCATTACCACTCACAATTCAAACTTACAAGCATTACAGAGATTATCATCATTGCCCAATGAAATCAAGACATACCTATTATTAAATAAATAAAAGAAAAAGAAAACAACGAATTTACTTGATAAGTTGCAACGCATTTGCAACTAGGATTTAAAGGAATAATATATATATATATATATATATATATATATATATATATATATAATATATATATATATATATATATATATATATATATATACATAAAAGATATAGTTTTGAAAATTAAAAACGTCAGTTGATTTGACTTACCCTCCTGTTTGTCCTCTTTGACTGATTGCTAGGTTGTTGCGCTGTTCCGGGTGTGCTTGGTGTTGGGACCTTTCTGAAGGAGAGTTTAAATTCCTCAATGGGGGTGTAGCTGTTCACACTCCAGGTAATGTTATAAGAATCCTTCGACCTTCCGACCGCATGGCTCCTGAATACAGCGGGGTTCGGTTTGCCTAAAATATAATATAAAAAATGTAATAATATAAAAAAAAATCTATAATTATAATACTTAATCCAATATTATTTTAAGTAGAACGATAATGTCTGCAATATATGACAGATCATGTTTGCCATAAATTCACAGTCTCAAATCGGAACACTGGCTCTATTCCTAACATGATGTATAACATTCTCTTTTTTTTTCAGTATCTTACCTAAATTGAAAGTTTTTCAAGGGTTTTGCCGTTTCTATGTCTTTGCCAATCATCGTGCGCTGTTTAAACAGCCCCCTTCCTTTTTGAGTTGATCATAATAATAAGTAAAGATTGTATGTTCATTTATATATATATATATGTATGTGAATGTATATATATGTGTGTGTGTGTGTGTTTGTGTGTGTGTGTGTGTGTGTGTGTGTGTATGTATGTATATATATATATATATATATATATATCTTTTTTTTTGTTTATTTCTTAGTGGTTACATACTACGTTTTAAATAATGTATATAATGTTAAAATTTTTATAAGTTAGTTTTTGTCCAGATTTGTATTTTATTTTGTATTAATTCATCTCTGTTATTCTAAGGGGACTTGGTCCCAGAATAAAGTTCTATTTTCTATTCTATTCTATTTTAATAATTTCAAGGAATAGGTATTACAAAATTGAATATTTTACAATGGCTCTTAGACGAAATCAGATTCTCTCTGCATCAAATATAGGATTTAAGAGTACAAATCCAATATTAACATGAGACAAACAGTTGTCCGACGAAAATGTTTGTCAATTACGATGTATTATGTAAGACTTTCTGAAGATGGAAGGTATCTAAAGAAGAAGTTTAACTCGTCTCCTTGGCATGAATAAGAAAGCTACAGCTGTCTGTTCCGACTGGAGATCACGGTTAGGAAGCGCCTCGGAGAAAAACTACGGCAATGAAAAAAGGTAATAAATGTGGGAAGGGAGCAACTGCTATTCCATAACGCTCTCAGAAAGAAAACACCTTTAATCAATTCTAGTGAAAATTTAATTTAAGAGCTCATGTACTTTTTGCAATGAACCTTTTATTACTAAATTAAAGCGTTTTTAATAAAGTTTGTGTAAACGAACAAACATGGATACTAATTTTGATCATTACTTTTCATCTTAATTTATATGTTATGCAACCCCAATAAAAAATTCTTCAATCATCTAATACTAATTTATTCAATAATTCATGTGATTATAGAAAATTAACACAAACAAAATTATTAATTTTGTAATATCTCTCATACATTTTTATTTTTCCCTTATCTATTTTTAAGTCAATATATGTTTATATATGTATACAATAAATTTTTTAATTTATTAAATTTTGTCTACTTAGTTACATATAGCGTAAAGATAATACAAACATATCATAAAATACAACAATGGAAACGCTGTCCATGAATATTATTATTACTAGTTTTTTGAATAAATTATTTATGAAACAAAACCAATTCTTCTCCTTTTCAATACGATCCATGTACTATTAGTTAATTGATCTTGACCGAAGCAATTTGGAGGGAGGATGGAGTAGCTCAGTGGAAGGGTACGGAGCTGCCAATGCTAATGGTCCCAGGTTCGAATCCCGGCTCATGGGAGAAAAATTATTTATTCTGATTTCTTGGCCGTGAAGCGACCCTGGTAGGTAGACCCTCCAGGGACATACCCAGCCTCTACAAATTGGGTACCCTTAATTATAATAATTAATTAAAGGGAAAACCTGGCGGTTGAGCGTGATCTCGGTCAAATTACCTTCTTGCACAACCGTAGACCAAGAGCACCGTAGTGCTTTCCCTAAATAGTACTAAGCCCAAGACCCTTTATGGGTTGTAGTGGTACAGATTAAAGCACTTTGAAGGATATGTGTACCAAGAAAAAGTATCCGTCATGAAAAACCTAATTGCAGAAAAAGCTGCCTTATGAGACTGGCAGACATGCATCATCAAAATACCACACGTTGGTATCATAATTTGTCGGTTATCATCATTTTTCGTCGTTTCTCTCTTTGTTAGTTGTTTTGAGGGATACCAGAAAAAAGCAACCTAAAAACAGCGAAGAGTTGCTGCTGAGTATCATTCTTGCTTCTGCCTGCCATGCTATTTTCCAAATAATAACAACAAATCTGCTTATTGTGACTTATTTAAAAGTAGCAGATTAAGATTTCAAAAAGAAGAAAATATTTATAAATTAAAATTTACAATTGTAATCGCCTAATTAATTTCACTTTGTAGATTTTAAGAAACTTTTAGAGAGGCCTTTTATATTAATTAGCAGTTTATTCCAATAATTTAAAAAAAAAAAAAAACTGTTTATGAAACATATCTGTACACTTTAGGTTAATGGAGTCATCGAATACTCATTTTGTAACGAATCATTTTTTTTTTTTTTTTTATATTAAACATTTGTTTCAGAATATCAATAAAGGTTAAATAAATTAGGAAATCTGTGTAGGCCCAGGTCAGATGTAATAAAGAATCACTTTACTAAAGACGATTTGAGACATCGATTTTCCTGTCCTCTTGGGAAAACTTATGAGAATAACAAAAAGAATATGGAAATCCAGACTTTGAATATAACAGAGCCAAGGAGCTCGGTGGAAAACAGAGGTGTATCTCTGAGGTGCCAGGAAATCGTCTAAATAATTCATAAGAAAGAGAGCCTTTGAAAGTTTCAATTGGCATCCGAGAGCTGTATTCAAATGTGCGAGCCATGTCCTGGAATATATTCGCCCATAGAGGCCAATAGAGTAATAGATCTTCTCTTATGGGAATCCCTCCACGTACCTTTCCTTTTTTTTTTTTTTAGGGCTTTACTATTTTCGAAAAGAGAAAACGATTTATTTCCAGAATTTATGAAATTTATTGCAATGGAATGCGAGTATAAATATATATTCATCTCTTTGAATGGAACTTTGAATTGAAAAAAATTATTTTGCATCTCAAAATGTTTCCACAATCTTCTGATTAGGATTAGAAATCTTCAATAAAATGTTTCGATTGCCAGTTTTAGATTGCAATTAATTAATTAAAAAAAATTACTAAACTCCAGCAGCAAAAAAAAAAAAGCAGGTCTTCGGATCTAAAAGTCACATGTACCAAAATTCAGAGGAGATATACCAATATGGTCAGATACACACATGTCTTGAATGGTGAATCTGGATTTCGATTACTTCATATTTACAAAAGGCCGAGGTGCAACTGCCGTTTCAACCTTCGGGAAGGATTGTAGAGAGGGATGGAGTATAACAAGGATTATTCTAAAGGATTTGGATGATTTATAAGGTTCTGATAAACTTTGGAGAGTTTTTCAGAAATAATGTCTGGAACAAAATGGATATGAAGGTCATGAAGAAAGGGTTTTGTTGGTTACGTAGAATAAAGCATTGAATATTGTTTGAGGGCTTTAGAGTGGAAGGATTGGATGAATTTAATACCAATATGGAACTAACATTTCAGCCCTTCTCTAATTCATACATCTTCAAAACAGAACATTTAATATAGGGAGATCACATATGCAGAATAAATCTCATACTAAAAATTGGAAAAAAAATAAGTAGAAAGAGATGCTTCGTCAGTTCAAGAGGTATGATAAATAAAATACATAAAGCAATAAAAACTTACCAGACAACTCCAGGTACTGTCTCGTCTTTCCAATCTGATTATCAGCAAGGCAGGAATAGTTTCCGAAGTCAGACGATTGCACCTTCCTTATGATCAGCGTATGTCTGCTACCCCTCACCTCCATGATTCTTCGTTCTGTCGTGTCTAATTTCAGTGTATCTCGGAACCAAACCACCTGAAAAGGAAAAAAACAATCAATAAAAATTAAAGAAATTGTTTCCGAGAGTAGACTAACACAAATATTTCAAAGGTATTGAAATCTGAGATTAAGAGTGTATATATCACAATCATAAAACCAGTTCTAATATGCAGCTGTGAGAACTGGAGACTAACCAACACCCTAGAAAGAAGTTGTAAAATATTTGAGAAAAATAACCTCCGGACGATAACTCGAGCGATCTGGAGTCTGAGTAGCATTGAGGAGGAGGATCAATAAGGAACTTAAAACTTAAAACTGGTCAATGAACATTTGAAAATATGAAGGCAAGGTGGTTCAGATAAGAGGACCATTAAGCTCGGAGCAATCCATCAGAGAGCCTTTACACATCAATGAATACCTTAATAGTAAAGCAAGAGACCAATTGGAAGGTGAAACAACTGGGGCGCTCTTGCCGAGCGTCTGCAAAGTACGTGAACTAGGCAACCTGATTATCTGAAGTTAATATGATGGAATAATCATTGTTTCGCTTCTAACGGCGTCGGGAAACTTTTAAATCTGTCAATGATTCCCCTCCCTCATCCCTGGCCCAGAAAAAAATCCCTTATAGCTCAAAAGGGGAGCGGAGGAGGAAAAAAACAAAACAGATACAGAGATCGAATTAATGGAGATTATGAGCATTTTTTTTTCTATGAGTTGATATTGAAAAAAATTCAATTAAACATAATAAGAAGTTTGTGATATGAAATAAAGATTTGTGAATTTTTTAATTCGCTCTCCTACCTACCTATATAAAAAAAAATCAAAAGATTATGAATGTAAAACGATTACTACTAATATTTTAATAACATTCATATGTTATTGTTAGGAGGTAAATTGGATTCAACTTATAAGGAATACGTGATTATTGTAAAAATATGAAAAATAAATTATCCTGATTAATAATTAAGTTCCTTTTTTTTTTATCAAGTGATCTTTATCAAGTGGTTTATAATCAAGGAATGAATTCTAAACCTCATTTTTTAAAAGCAAATACATATTATCAACAATACCACAATAATAATAAATTGAAAGAGCCACATTTTAACTTCTCATAACACAAAAAAATATTTATATAGGAATAACGTTAAGAGGGAAACAAAATACAGAAAGGATTGACAAGAACCCTGTAGTGAGGAGAACTTGGAGCTGGCCGAATTCCAGACATTCCAGCAGAGATGAGATCGACATATCTGGAAGACTATGTTCGAATTCTTTTCTGAAGCGGTATTTCTAAATTTAATTTCTTCGAAACCCCATTTTAATACAGATCCCTGAGACACGAATTAGAACCGAGAATATTCATCGTAAAATAGCGAAGGTACAATATTTAGAGAATGCTGTCCTCCTTGAGGGTTATCAATAAAGAAATTATCAATTAGAAGTCAAGAAGATATGTTTATAAGAATCATTAATTCACTCTATATTTACTATTAAAGTCTAGTCACATAATAATAATTAGATCTACTATATCTAATCGTTTTAGATTATACATTTTATGAAATTTTAGACCAGGAATTTTTTTTTATGAATTTAGTGAACTAATTGTGTTGATAGTGTTCCACTTAAGCGAAACTTTTGTTTTAAATAAAGAGTATAATTACATTACATCTACTACATTTTATCAATAAACGATCAAGGTTTTATAAAGGTCACATTACACCCACAATTTTATTTCATTTCATTTCATCAATTAAAAGCCTTTTTAACAACATATTGGTTTATTATTTTCAATAATGAGCCATTCTGATCGACTGAAAAATTCAAAAACTTAATCCTCTTTCATAGTTTTCATTTCAAGATACATGGAATTCGAAAAACGAATACAAATTTGTTGTCCGTCCGTTGTGTGCGCAGATTCTCCGAAACTACAGGACCGATTTTTTTTTTTCAAATTTGGATATAAAATCAGAGGTCACTCGAGGATGATCCTCCTTCATCGACATTACTATCGGCCTTTTATTTTCAAAATGGTGACCGAAAAACCTTTGTTGCTATAGACTGTAGAGCCTAAACGAATGTACCGATTTCAATGAAACTTCCCTAAAGTCATTTTCTCGATGCCCTTTAAATTTATCAATATAACATACTTCAACGAAAAGAAGCTGGAAAAAAGTATTATGTCAGATTCTTTAAAAATGACATAACCTAACGACGAAACTTCATAATGTATATGAAGTAAGAAAATCTTAAAGTGATTTTTATTGATATAAATAAAACACAAGAATAATGTGATATTTGTAAAATATTAATCGAATTTTAATTAAATTAATTAAAAATAAGGTTGCTCATCATAAAGAAATATTTTTAAGTTTTTCTATAATTTATCAGGAGAATTATTAATCGCAAGTTTTATCCCGCCGAACAGACCATTTTTTTTTTTCAAATCATTAACATCCATCTAAAACTTCGTACTTGGATTCGAATTATCGTAACCTTCAACTTTTGCGTTTTCAATCTAGCGATTGGTAAACTACATCCATTTAATGATGAACTAAAAGCTCTTAAACACCCATTTGCTATCCAATTGAATCATAAGATTATTTTATTACAAAACTTTTAGTACCTTATTAAATTTTATTTTTATTGAACAGTAAGTAAATAGTACAATCTGCCTCATTGAAGGGCAATAAGTAACAAGGCTAAATGTGTTCATTCATATCATATATACATATACTACGGAAATAAAAATAAAAAAAAATGAATAAATAAAACATAAATGAGTAAACTAAGAAAAAGTAAATATAAAAATAGAATTACAAACATAAATAATACATAAGCCAAATAAGAAATAAATTAATAAGTAAAAATAAAATAAATCATCTTAACACATTCACTCTTATGTGTATATTAAATATATACTACTTATCGATCCCCAGATTGAGCTTCTGAAAATTTTCGTAAGGTGAAGCCATTTACAAAGCATTAGACGGATATTAATAGATACAAAGGAGTCTCCACTATGGACTATCATTATAAATTTTTAACTGAACTGAAGTTTCGAATATATCGCGTTCTGTGTCCACGATACTTTGTAACGAACCTAACCACCTGTATGCCGACGACGTTCAGATTTACCCTTCCTTCAATCCGACTGATTCCTCAGATGCCATTCTAAAAATCCAAAAAGATAGTGATACAATAAGTGAAAGAGCAAACCTCAACAGGTCCACTCTGAACGCTGAGAAAACGAAATCCATCTTGATTGGATCTCCCGCACTCCTCAAATCCTTCCCAGCAACCCTCAATCTTCTCCTGGACAACTGATCTATCTTATTCCATTCTACCGTTAAAAACCTAGGTGTTACTTTTGATCAAATCCTCTCCTGGAAACCACACATCTCCCAAATTTCCCGTCTCACTATCTCCACCCTAAAACAGTTTAATCGCCTACGTTATCTCCTTCCATATGAGTCCCGTCAACTTCTAGTTTCCTCTCTTGTTTTCCCCCACTTTTACTATGGCTGTATGGTGTACGGTGGACTCTCGGGAGATTTCGAGGCCAAACTTAAACGCCTAATGAATTGCGCATTACGTTTTGTTTTCAGAATATCAAGAGATTCGCATATTACCCAGTATTCCACCGATTTGAAGTGGCTCTATCCATCTTATCGCCGTCAGTACTTAATAGCTACCTTTCTGTACCAGATCATTAGAATTCATCGACCCTCCTATATTTTCTATAGCTTACAATTTAAATAATCCATCTATTCCCGTCCCAATAGAACTCTATCCTCCTCCTCAGCGAACTGCTGCGTTTGAATCATTTGCAATTCAAGCCGCCTACTTCTGGGATTCCATCCCTGCTGATATCCGACACGCACAATCAGTTTCCTCTTTCAAATCTCTCCTCTTTAAACACCTACTCCTTTCTCAATCCACCTGATTACGAAATATACCTAACAGAGATATCTAAGTACCCCAGAAAATATTTCTGTTATTTTAGTTTTCTCTGTTTGTATTATATATATTTGTTAGCTTTTCATGTCTTTTTCTCTGGCGCTGTCTGTATTTTTACTTCTAAATAACCAATATTGTAAATATTTACTCTATTTATGGCCACTTATACATGTATTCAGTACTTATAATTTGTTCTAAAGGGACAACAGTCCCAGAATATTAAAATATATTTTCATTTCATTAATACTTACGTAAAATATTTTAAAATCGAGTTATAATAATTTCGGTTAGTAAAATATATATTTTTCTCCTGTTAAATTAATCCTAGCTAAATTACGAACACAATTTCCGCGAGGCCATTAAAGTAAGATCTAAGATATAATATTTAATATATATTTCTTGAAAGCGGAATAATCCCAGTGAAGAAAGGGAGCATTAATTCATGGTTGTAGGTTGGGGGGAGTTGCCTAGAGAGCAGGGAGCACTTACGGCTCACCTCGCTACACCTAATCCCCGACCCTCTTCACATCTTTTTCTTCCTGCCGCGCGGAGTGGTTCATCTCCTTGGGGTAAGTAGAAAATAACAGGCGCTCTTGAGGTGTAGCCTCCCAATGGAAGAATCTATTCCCAGGTATAACAGATATTTTCATAAAACATGAAAGGAACCGATAAAAAAAAACCTTTTTTTTTTAAAAAAAGTAGTTTAAAGCTGTCAAAGATAACAGGAATAAGGAAATAATATGAAAAAAAAAAACTGTTAACCGAGGCTATATCTAATTAATTTACAATTACAAAATAAACATTTCCTGAGATGCCTGAATCGGCGAAACATTGGCAGGTTTACTGTTGGATTTTTTCATTTATATCCTAATTGATTTGCGAGCAATATGTTAATTTACAGTAATATTATTTAGAGTAGCTGTATATCCACTGGGTTTTATTGACTACGGATGGCACAAATATCTTGGAACAATTTATTTTACACATTTATATGTTTGATTTTTTTGGTATATGTAATTTGTTTTCCCTCATTCATTACTTCTAATCATCTGTTGTATATAGACTTTCTCTTCTGTGTTAATGGAACCTCCCGTTTTCGTCAGTATGTGTTTCGATGGCTTAATGTGATGTTTCTATTCAAATATTAGTCTCTAATAAATTTTGTTTTTCTCTTTCTTTCTTTTTTTTTTATATGTATGAGACATGGTTTTTTCACCTGCGTGTAAGAGACTGTAGGCTTTATGCTTTATGGTTTGGATTTTCCATTTCTATTCGAATTACTTTATGTCTTTTAAATACTTATTTTTAGTAATATTAAAAACAATGTATATTGCCAAATATTTTTAGAAGAGAAATATTTAAAGTTACCTAGCATACAAAGATTTTTTTTTATATGTACTATTTTAATTTTTTTTTTTTTAAATTCGTGTTAAACGAATTCTAACAGTAAACAACTTAGGCCCATAGAATGATAAATAGAAACGGCTGGCAATAATAAATGGTTCATTTTTGGTTTATTTTCGTTAATCTCTCACAGAAACATTAAAAATAAACAAAAGCTTTTTATTTAATCTTTTGCTCCAGTCGTTTCTATTTTTTTCTCTCAAATAATTTATAATTTGATTTCATAGTCGTAATTTGTAATCTTTAGAAAAAAAAATCTTGTGCGCACATTATATAACTTTAATTTACCGCTTTACTTCGAAAAGAGATTTTTGTCTAGAAAAATTGGGTCATTAGAAGAAAATTGAAGTTTGAAGCTCATTTATAAATAAAAAAAAATCATAACTTAAATATTTATTTGCTAAAATTATATATATGATTTTTCATTTTAACTTTTTAATTAATAATTTTATCAGGCAAAATTTATTTATTGTATAAAAAACTAATATAATCATAAAAACTCTTTATTAGTTTCCATTCCGATAATTTTATATATGTATGTCGTAGATAAATATTTAACAACACGGATCTGTACTATTTTCAAATCTTTTTTAAATTTTTATTTGCTACATTTCTGATACATATCTTATCACCAACTGTATTGAAAATGGAAGGAAACCGTAATTTTGCTGCACTCAAGTAGATATTCTTGTAGCACTAACGCGTTTTGTAAAAAAATATATATATCATTAATATAATGTATAAAAAATGTAGTCTATTAACTTTTTAGTTTATTTAATGGTTCGGCTTATGGTTTGTATATGTTTTTTGAGTCAGTTTTGAAATTTACGACACTAGTTAAATTTTCTGTAATAGTGATAGCTT